GCAGGAGTAGTTACAAACAGGAATTGGTGTAACTTATATAACAGCTCATTTCCTTTTGAGAGCGCTACGGTTTCAGTTTAGCACATTTATTCAACTTTAAGGGTTCCAAACAAAGACAATTTCAAATTGTTTTTGCAAGGAGCATTAGTTTTACCTTAACATGAAGACGTCACTCTCTACCCTGCACAGCCAGCCAGCGGGAGGCTATCCCACCACAGGCAGTCCCAGCTCTGTACGGTGGCAGCATGCCAGCCCTTACATGCCCATGTCTCCAGGCAGGCCAAATCTGGCCTGACTGTTATCAATAGACCCCGGCTGGGGTCCGTGACAGGCAATTACGCAGTACACGTGGGCCCCGTCCCATGTTTCAAGATCCGTACAGCTGACTAGAAAAGAAATAATATCACGCTTCTTGGCCTGCTGTTTTCTGTATTTGCTTAAGAATACGGTCTTAACTAGCACCTCTGGGTTGACCTCAGGTCAAGAGAAGTGTGCCAAACTGCTGTGACCAAACCTGTGTAGCTTAAGGAAAGTATTTTACAATGCTGACCTCATATTAGACATGTTGCCATAACACAAGTGACTGGCAAATTGGATTGGGCAGAGGTTGATATTATTCTGCTACTTCAGAGTACTCCCGCCACGCCACACGCTGCTGTCCCTGCAACAGAAGGTTTTCCTACTAGTCCTTCTGTACATTATTCTTTATCTTGTACTTGTTCTTCACTTACTGTATGAGACGCCCACCACTAGGAAAGGTTGTTTTCCCTAAGGATGAGCACTGCTCACTGTTCTCATTTTACACCACTACACAGCGCCCACGTTCAGCATGGTTGACTCAGGAAAGCAATTTGGTGCTAATTTGAGAGTACATGGGTACCGCTTGTTTCAAATATTTTTTGCTTCTGTGGAAGCTGATATCTGCAATGATGGCAAAGATCTTATGTTTCTGATTCTTCACCGTTTTTCTGATTTTAATTCAGACAGGCAGCCTTTTATGGTAAAGCAGTTTCAGAGGAAATCTAGAGACAAACACACCCACGGGGTTATAAACATAGCATCTTCTACAGACTACAGCCTTGTCATCCTTGGATATGGGAACAAAAGACTACACATGGGACTCCTCCTCCACATGTGCCAAAGACTACACATGGGACTCCTCCTGAATCTGAATTATAAGGGCTGGGGGGAGGGTCACACTCTCACTCCGCTATCACTTCCAACACAAATGCTTTGCCTTTTTAAATTTGGTTCAATTATTTGTTTAATAAAGGCTGGCTTCTGGTCTCAATGGGCGTCTTGGTAACCTGGGTTATGTGCTTGAGGGCACGCAGGCACTCTTTTCTGCAGACTGCACCCTGGCCTCTACAAGAACTTCCTGCTTGTTTCGTGTAATTCCCCCATGGCACCAACTCATAGGCCCCTTTACCCTGAGACGCGGTGAGTATCTGTGACTCCTTCTGGCCTCCCTGTAAGTTCTCTCAGTCTTCTGTCTGGCACCGTAGAACTGTGCCAGCTTTGTGCTATCATAGTTCTTTCCAACCTTATAGGCCCTGAAATTTGCCCCTAAAAATTGCTGCTAATTCAGTCTCTGCCACATGTTCCTCTCTTTGTTGTATACACATATATATTTATGTGTATATATACATAAAAGCAAGACAAAAGCAAGCATATAGGTATATTATAAACTTTCATTTACAGAACATTCATTTTCAGGCAGAACATATGCTCTTTATTTTCTGGAAATAACTGCAAACATCTTTCAGTAGAGAATCTCTACAAATTCCCACCATGTCATGGCTTCCCATCGTAGGTATTCATGCTCAAACACCTTCTCTGGATTCCTCATTTCCCACTGCTGTTCTCAAAGCTCTACGTTTCAGAGATTGTCTAGCCCTCACACTTTGTTTTTTTCCTCAAATCCTCCTTCACCCATTCCCAGACTTACGATCCCTTCAAAGCTATGCATAGAACAATCTCCCTTCCTTTTTGCCAAGCAGTATCCTTGTCCTCCTTCAAATTTGCTGAAAACTTATCTTTCACTCAGCTGTACATCACTGTTTTCTTCTGTAGTATTGTTTCAGTCTTCAGTGAATCTTTCCTGTCTGTCTTCCGTTTGTTTAATTTACTGTTTAAACTCCTTATTGCAGCAAATTCATCTTTTCATGAATTTGTGAAGTGTCACATACCTTATGAAAGTACTTAAATAACAGTATTGCAAATAAGCACCATGTAGTACCTTTCTATTCCATTCAGTTTATGACGATGCTTTCGGGACATTAAGAGTCCACCTCCCCAGGCAGCCTGGAAGAGAGGAAAAAAAGAGAAGACATTGTTTTGGAAAAGCCTAATATATTTTAATTTACTCAGGATCTAGTAATTATTTTTTTAGTTCAAGGCAAAACACGTGTAAACAAAAATCCTCTTTTGCCTGAATAATAGCACTTCATTTAGTTACTTACATCTACATGGAGCCAGAGGTTATATTTTTCACATATATCTGCAATCTCCTGTATTGGATCAAAGGCTCCGTATACTGTTGTGCCTGCAGTTGCATTTACGAAAAGGGGAATGTATCCCTACAATAAAAATAAAAATATTAAATACAAAATCCAACCTCTTTCAGGGAAAAAAAAAAAAAATGTGAAAATCATTTTAGAAATGTTGCTATCCCATTTTCCAGCCTAAAAATGTTTTTGTTCCCATGTGAAAGGTACTTATAAGCAACAGTAGAAACTAACAAATTGTATACATGGCAGGAACAAACTCTGGTTTTACTGTACTGTAACTTCACAAAATTAACTAGTCAAAAGGTAAAGAATATTACGTTGTCTAATCTCTTTCAAGGAGATTCAAACGTTCTAGTAGAAGACTAGCAATAGTCAAGTAAAATTGAGACTTTTACAGCAGTATAAAGGAAAATTAATTAAATGTGATTTGTAAGTTGTGATTTGAAAGCTTGAAGTTGTTCCTTTAGTCTTTATCTACTAATAAACAGAACAAAGCAGAACAAAGCAATCAAAAACAAAAGCAATAAATGTGGAACTATCAGATCAAAGTGAGACAATTTTGATTTACATGAAATAAATGTGACTGCAATTTCATAGAGTGCCCAAATGTAAAGAAGTTAAGAAATAAAAAAAAAAAAAAATCTTGGTTGTTCTTGGTGTTTTTATACAAAATTAATGGATTTTTCATTGCATTGGTTCAAGAAATAACAATGAATGCCTCAATGCTATATTTATAATGCTATATTTACTAACCCTGCAGCCTCACACTTGAAATCTATGGGAATTTTTAGGACTTCAATAGATTTTTTGATGGTTTTGGCTAAACTTTAAAGTTTGCAAAAAAGTAGGTTTAGTTTCATGTTTTCATACTTTTTTCCATATATTTCCAAACAGAAAGTTACTTTTAAAAGTCATAAAATACAGATGTGTTCAAGAGTTAAAAATATTTTGGTTTTAAACAGTAAATGGAAACCTTAGCAAGACATATAGACAATTCCCTAAACAATACATGAATGTATAATTAAGCAGATGAAAATATTATTATAACATTTGTGTCATTATAATGTTCTCTTTTAATGTTAACTCTCAACCTTCAAAAGAAGAGGTACTTTTACTAAGCCAAGCATTTAAGCACTAATTTTTAAAAACACAAACCTTTTGTTTTGCTTCCAAAATTTTTGCCTCCAAATCAGCTGGTATTATTTTGCCTCTGTAATTATTGTAGAAACAGAAAGACAAAGAAAATTAAAGATCGCATACAGAAATACTAGCTACAGTTGAAATAATTTAATAGGATTTTCTCAACAGGCCATTAGCAACTTGACACACTGTACTGAACCAGTCCTTAAGCACAATACAACAAATTTAACAGATGAACACATTTAATTTATTAAAACCTTAGCATTCATACTACCTTTCATTGCATTTTATCAAAATCACATTGTCTGTTCCAAATCCAAGTGCAGCTCCAGCTTTCTTTATTGAGTAGTGACTCTGCAGCAAAACATATGCACATTTAATGGAGTGGTTGCTTAATGATGAAGCATCTTCACAACATACATCAATAAATTAAGACTTAGCAGCATATTAAGCTCACATGTTCTGAGGTAAAGAGAACCAGTTTAGGGACTGCAGCCATGCCTTTGGTTTTGACCTCAGGGAAATACTTGTAGCGTGCAGCCATTATGCTGTACATGTTCGAGATTGCTCCTCCTGTGAATGAATAAATGAACAAATAATAAGATAGTGATAATGAGAAAAAATGCATATTAGACTAAAGACATACAAGTCTCATTTGCATTATGCAGTGGAAGTGACAGTGAACTATGAAAAAATAAATCTCTGAAATGCATGGTCATCTGTCTAAACAGCACAGGGACAGACCCTCTAGAAAGTCATACTGACAGTTAGAATTTCCTATCCATCATCTCTTTCAATTGCTAACATTTTGTAATATATTCCTAAAAAGTTCAGCTTTCATCATGCTGCTTTTTCATAACTTCTTGTTAGCAAGAATAACAGGAACTTATCAAATTGTCTGAGACTGAAGAAATGTTGCATACTGGATGGATTTATCCCATCTCACTGTAGATATGAAAGTAGGTCCCTAGAAGGTAGATTTCTACAGCTTAGCTAGTTATTCTAAGCTTCCTTATAGTCAGTTAAGGGAACGAGGCACTTTGCAGGCTATGATTCAACTAATCTATTTTGACACTTACTTTTGAAAAATGTGAATTGAGGGAAAGCATGTATTTCTCTTGGTTTACTGCTAAAAACAACCCAGGACAGTTAGCTCAGTTCTACAATGCAGACCTCAAGATTTAGTAATTTGAATCTCATCCATAAAGTCTAAGATAAATTATTCCTCTAATATTTCTTCATCAACAAGAACACTGAGAAAGATCTGTATTTTTCTACCAGATGGGACTGGAGACCAAGCAAGTGTGCATTCCTGGATTTTGTGCGGGCTGTTCCAAAAGAAGATGGAACTGCCCTTCATCCTCTGAAACAGGATGGTGTGTCCCCCACCCCAAACACAGAAATCTGGAATTCTGCTGGGCGCACACATGGACCCAGGACTTCCGCATGGTTTACCAGTTTTTCTACCACTGCTGACTGTTTTTATATCACCTTCATGGGAAGACATTTTGTCTTGGTCTTCAGAATCATACTTGTGAATCCAGTCAGATTATGTCCCAGAAGGGGACAGGCAATCACAGTCTTTTTCTGACTGTGAGCCCAAATCCTCACTGACCATCAAAGAAGCCAGTACATTATTCTCTAGAGCTATTGGTCAGCAGGAGTTGTTGTTGCTCAGCACCTCCAGAAATGAAGCGCAAAAAAAGCGTGCCTAACTATGTACCAGAGCTCGTAGTCAAGTTTTAAAATGTTGCCCAGCAATGATACATAACCATAAAGATTCCGCCCCCCCAACTTTTTTGTGGGATGCTTAAACAAAGCATGTACTTCAGTGGGAAATTCCTACTTCTAAATATTTGATGCATTGTTCTGTGTTGCAGATATTGTGGGCATTCAGCTTATCTTTATTTTAACTTCTGAAGTTTTAGTCAAAGTTTTAGTGAGAGGAAAAACTCACCAGGTGAGAATATTCCATCGCCATCTTTATTTGACCATCCAATAATCTCTCTCATCTTTCGAAGCGTTATTTGTTCCATGAGGACAAAAACAGGGGCAATTTCATAGGTAAACCTGCATGGATAAAGCAAACCAACCCAAACAAACAAGATCAAGTACAGATTCTAAAAACACACAACAAATTCCCAGTCTGATTCTTTGTGAAAATTCTTAAGATTCCAAAAAGTTTTCCTATAAATTGAGGTTCTGATATTGCAACCTTTACCCAAGCAAAAATCTTCTGGAAGACAATACTGGAAATATTGGTCAATAAAAACTGCAGTATTAGCTCTTTTGCAACTTTCTGTATAATCAACGTAAGACCTAACGCTCACCATCATAGTGCTGCTGACTGCTGTACAAGATTGTACTGTAAAACATTTGTTTCCCAAAGTGCCAATTTCACACTTGTGGAATAACATATTGCCAAATCCTTATGAAAACAGTGAACTTCACTGAGCTAAATACCATAATTAGAAGTATTGAGCCAGGGCTTCAAAGTCTAAATAAATTAATTATGTGGATTTATTCTGTTGATGATCTCCAAGGACAACTTATTTCTACAATACCATGCGATCAATAACTGTCAAGAGTAATTATAAATGATGATTTTCTAATTACCAATTACAAAAAACAAGTCAGCAGTCAACTACTGTATCCACTTAATGAGGGAAAAAAACATTGCATAGTCTGATATGCCCTGATGTCACAGACAATAAGTGGATGGAAAGTGACAGCCGTACAACCATTTTTGGTGCTCAAGGTACATGGATGTTCACATGCCACTGCTGTAAACAAACTCTGCTTGCTGTGTATGCCAAAAAAAAAAAAAAAAAAAGTAAAAGAAAGTAAAAGAAAGTAAAAAACAAGGGGAAAAAAGGAAGCAGAAAGAAACTAAACAATCAATAACCAAAGGAATCTATAAGAATATGACACCCTGATACTTTGGATCTGACTCATGTCTTCCACTTGAATAATTTTGCCAAAGTGTATGTGTTGTCTATCTAATAATAAAATGACATTTTGAGAATAGATACAGCAAACTTTAAGGAGACATGGTATGAAGAAGGGAATGTGTGCCTGAAAAGCTTGTCTTTTATTTACAGCTACAGTTAGTTAAAACACTAATTTTTTCCACAATCCTTATGTGTCCTTAGTCCATTAGAGAAACACCATCACTATTTTGAAAACATTCCTTTAAGATTAAACAGCATTTGTAATTTAATTGTTGTAATTGCTATTTTCAGAAGCCAAAATATTGCTTATTTTGCTTTTATTATCATTAGAACTGTCAGAGACAGACAGTTGAACACTGATCTGAAGTTTGGATGCTGCCAATATTTACAGAGACACAAAATTAATAAACCAGATGGTGTCTGCTAACAGTGGAGGGTTTTTTTTGTTTGTTTTAAGCACTGCAAGTCTAGGATATATTCCAATCTTTATTTAGGCAGAATGACCAACTGAAGTCAACAGGAACTCACTGTAGCCTAATACAAGATATGTTTAAGTCAATGTGATTTTTTACATCAGTTTAAATGCATTTTGAATTTTGTCCTGAGACCTTTTACACTGATCGCTACATACTTCCCGGAAGACTTAGAGGCTTGTACAAAAAATATATAGTGTTAAGCAAGTTTTTTGTATATAAAATATCAAGTGTTCACAATGGAAATTTTGAATATACTTAAACCCAAGTAAAACAGCGTTTATTTATTTTATTATGTAATTAATTTCTGAGTCTCCAAAGACTGACAAAGAAATAAAAGAAGACTGCAGATGATTATAAATGATAAGACCAATGGAGCTATATTAGATGATGGCTATGATTTAAAAATCACATCTTGCTAAAGTTCACTTATTTGTTTTACACTTGAATGATTTTGCAAAATTCAGTTAAACACAGAAAATGTGTTTGGCTTGGAAGGAACTATCTGACTTTATAACCAATCTCCTGACAAAGAATGCTGATTAGATTTTTCATACAGTTACAACCTTTACAGGTATTTCTATGAATTAACTAAAACAGTCGTGAGTCTCAGCTTTTTACTAAACAGAATAAATGAGTGGGGTTTTTTTGGTAGTGGCCAGTGCTGGCTTAATTCTGTTTTCACCCAAAGGCCAAATCATTCTAACTACCTGTTCTCCTGTTTGCCAGTATGTGAAAAGCATTCCGAGAATAAACATAAAGCATTTTACATCATTGTTCTATGTTACATTTTCATAAGCAAAAATGCATAATACTGAAAATACCAATATAATTCTCTCGTCTTGGCCAACAGTGGGCATAAAGAGAATTTCCAGATAATATTACTGCTTTCTAACCTCAGCTGGCTGCTGCATGGTGAGTGAACACCCTGCACTACAGATCCCTAGAGCTGAATGAATAATGGCGACTTCTGAAGTTTCCACCCTGAAGGTCTTATGATTACTGATTGAGCTATGAATAGCACATTGATACATTATTTCCAAGTCAATGTGGGAAGCTTATTATGTTTAATTTATTATCTTCACAGTGACATTTAGGTAACATTTCCTAATGACAATTCAAAATTTTAAGAGTGTACAGATGTTTTGATTACTCGAAACTCATTTGTGAAAGAAAACACGTATTTTTTAATTGTTCACAAATATTTTAAGTATTGTTTATAGGTGGAAAAGAAAAAATGGCAAATGGAAAACATTCCCTACCATAATCCAGTGTTACAGTCACTTGTGTGTTACGTGCTTGTGTAGCTGAAATAGGTTAGAACAGTTTCTAGGTAAAGGTCAGAACCTGCTCTTCTGTGCTGGAACACTGCTCAAAACAAGTAATGTTCCCCAGAGCTCACAGAGATGATCTGGCTATTTTTAATAACCTTCTCTGTCAGTTCTTTGAATCCCATTTTACAAACATCTTTAACCTTACTTGCAATTACTGTGTTATTTGAAAGCATATCATGTTGACCATGGTTTGCTGACAAAAAAGAAAGCAATGTATTATTTTGCATTTGCTAAACTTCATACAAGCAAATAGATTCTCAATTTTCATGCTTGCAGAGAATTATTTTCAAGATATGTTTTTGTTTAAAGTATAAATGGTTCAGAAACTAGCTTTACAAAACTAGATATTTAATAATTTACTTCTAAAAACAAAGGCAAAAGCAACCTCATTTTAAAAAAAAAAGTTACTTTTTCAGAACTGAATAAGTGAGTGTTATGTTCTTAATAATGATGGCAATATTTCGTAATACTATCACAGTCTGCCACAGAGCTGAATTCTATTATGTCCTATCAGATTTGTGCAATTTCACTGATAACAAAAGGATAACTAAGCTAGGATAACTAAGTTAGTCAAAGGAAAAGGGACTTGCAAGAAGTGACACTCTCTGAAGTATGTTTTTGTCACAGGAACAATATTTAAGCAAACTTTTCTTTTAGAAATGTAATCAGATTTGTTTTCACTTTTAATTGTGGTGGAAAAAAAAAAAAGGCACCTTGCAATACTTGTTTTATGATTAAAATATATGTTGCTGGGTTTTCTTCCCAATCAGCTTTTAAATCTGAATGTCTCATACCAATTTTTAGCAGATAGAGAATTAACTGAGAAGACAATTATTACAAAGAGCAGGCTGGTTTTGGCTGGAGCACCTTATGTATTTTTCTTTATTGCTAATGTCACAAAACAGGCACAGCTCGTAATCTACATAGAGCTACTAGTAATCAGCTATACTTAATGAACCATTTACTCATGGATAGGCCAGTGAAAATATTGCTCGTTTTCCAATCTGCAGATACATTTCCTGTGTTCTACCAATTAGCAACAAACTACCCAAAACAGAGGTAGCTTTAGAGTTAAAACACATCCAATACAGGACTAAAATAGAAGGCAGTCTGTTGCTTGCCAAGTATTTGGACTCCAATCACATTTTTGAGCATATGCAAATCAATATCTAAATAAAAACTGGCTAGAAGGTTTTTTGGTTTGGTGGGGTTTTTTTTCATTAAGTACACTATTTATTGCAAAAATTCAGCATAATACCTTACATTTGCATCTAGCTCTCATTAATTTTGAGGTCAAGAAAAATTAGGAACTGTTTCCTCATTGATATGTTCTAGATGTAAAAGTTTACTTTTTTTGTATGTCCATTTATTTATTTATACAAAACTTTAATAAATCTTAGACTAATTCCTTCATTAGCATCAAATTAATTTTCAATATTACATTTTTCATCATTTTGAAGACACCCAGAAGTCACTTCATTACCAGCACACGGACAGGACAAGGCGGTACCCCAAGCCTGCTACCTCTGAAGTCAACAGGCGAAAAGACAATGAAGTTTTACATATTTTGTATTCTAGTATTAATATATGAATAGCTGCAGAATTACTCAGTCTAGAGGCAAAGCTTAAAAAAAAATCGGGAAAAGATAAAAAAGATTGGTCCAAGAGAAGAAAAATAATTTCATATTATATTAGGATCAGCATGGTTTACTTACCATGTGCTCTGGGATATTTGCATTTCTATTTATCAGAAATGTAAAACTGTTCAGCTTTATATAACTATTTTCACTGTATTAGTGCCACATTAAGAAAAATATGAGACGCTTTTATTGAAGACACAGCAATCGGCCTTTAAAGAAGAAAATTATACACGTCTATGACCATACATGTCTATCATGATAGATGGCAGCCCCTCTAAGCACCAGTCACAGACGCTGACGACAAGACACTGCTTACATGTTTGTATTGGCAGTTGATGTCAGCCACTCCCCAGCCAAGCCGATAATGTCCAGTCCTGTGGACAGCTGATTGAAAAAGCGAGGGTGACCTGGGAAGAGAATTGAGAGCAACTTAGAACAACTCCACCGGTATCTCTCAGGTTTCCGTTTCAAACCGTCCAACCGCCCTGACACGCAGGATAGCTCTGCGCTCCTCCCACACTTGCAGCGAAGTTTTCGAAGCAAGTCCTGCTTTGGGAGACCGTCAGCCAACACTCACGGATGTCTTGTTACAGACTTGAAAAACGGCTTTAGAGGGAGCCCCTGCATGGAATCACTGGTGTTTAAATTAAAAGAGAGAACCTCAGAGCCGACTGAGCCTGTAAAACACCTCCGGAACCTGTGCAAGGGCTCGGGCCGGCCCATCTCCAGAGGCTCCCTCCGCCCCTCGCCGTGCTGTGAACTCGGGGGGGTGGGGGGTACTTGACAGTAACAACCTGCAGGTGCTGGGTCATTTGCATTTGAATGGCGAAAGAGAGGAAGGCTCATCCGCTTGTAATTAGGCTGTAGGGATAAGGGAGGGGTGCGGAGGAGCCAGTCGCTTGCTGAGCTGCGCGGCCGCGGGGTCTCCGCGGGAAATGTCCCGCTGTAGCGGGGCGCTGAGAGCCCCCCAAGAGCTCCTCGGCACTGGTGGTTCCCCCACATGGTTTAAAAGCTAGGATTCACCTCATAAACAAAGGCTTTGCTATCAAACCGAAGCCAATCATATTCCTGTATTTCAGCCAAAGTTACTTTAACAACTTGTATAAGCAATAAGCCCGACTATTGGGGGTCCACTTTTCTAGCATAAAGACATGAAATTCCTAACAAATGATGACGGGCTTTGAGGGGAAGGAGTCATGGTTTAGCCCTTATCTCTGCTCTCTTGGGAAAAGACACGCAGATAACACACTGGGGACAGCCCAGCCCGAGAGGGGGTTCAGCCCGGAGGGACCCTGTCACGTCGCATTTGGCTCAACACTGGGCCATCAGCACATTTTGACGTAAAGAAATAAATGCGATTCTGCTCCGAGCGATGTCAGCGGGAAGCGATGTCAGCCTTCGGAGGCGTGAGCCTGCCGGCGCTGCCACGTCTCGGCACAGCCCGAAGAGGAGGCCGCCGCGGAAACTGGGGGAACACGGAGGCGAAGCGCCCGGGCGGCTCCCGCCCCGCGGAGCCAAGCGGCTCAGGGCTAAAGCCCAGAAATATCACCACGGCTTAGCTATTTTCTTTGCAAAGCAGCACTTCTCTCCCTTACCGTGACACACGGTTTGGGAAGTTAATTTTAAGAGACATTTCGCTGGCCTCACAAAGCTGTGAGCGAGCCCGCGGGTCTCCTGAGGCTGGGCTGCAGATTCGACCCCCCTGTCTATTTAATTCTGGAGAGAGAACGTGAGCCCCCGGGGCCCGGGAAGCCAGGGCATGTGTCCTGGATCGCCACCCAGCCCGAGCAGATCTGTAAAGCTGCATCAGGTACTGCTTTGAACAGAGCTTGTGTCTGATCGGATACCTGCATCTCAGCTCCCGGGAGAGGTCCCGCCGGTCCCGCAAAAGCTCCAGGGGAGGTCGGGTGAGGGGAAGAGCTTGGTCGACATCCCGGTGCAATCAATACCGGCATAACGGTGCCAGTACACAGACCGCCGTGACTCCGGCTTTCCTGCCGTTCGACAACCCACGGGTTTGGGAGCAAAATACGCTCCCCTTTGATTAAGGGCACAAAATCAAAGTATGCCCCTGACACTCTTGAATAAATCAAACTACCATGTAAACGGGAAAAGACAGGAAGCTAACCGCCACATTTGCGGTCAAGATTTTGTTACTTGAATGCACGGCGTTGTTTTTTCACAGCCGCATAACCAACCAGTGGAGAAAGCAGCGCCCCGTCCTTCGGGAGCCATCGCTCGCAGCTGCCGAGCCAGGGGCTGTCAGACAAAAGCCTCCCTCTACCAGCTCCCACCGCCCCGCCACTCCAGCTCCGCGGGACGACTGCCGCCCGCCATGGCAGCAGAGCTGGCCGAGCCGTGCCGTGCCGAAGAGGGCTGCTCGCCGGGCAGAGCTCAGCAGCCCTGAAATGCTGGAGCGGGGCTGGGGAGACACGGCCCCCGCTCCGTTATGGCTCCAGTTCCTGACCTGCTTGGGTACGTACAGCAGTGCGGGCTGGTTGCCAGCCGAGCTTTCTGCCGAAACAAATGTAAAACGTTTCAGGCCAAACAGCCTGAAAGAGCATAGACTTTGCTCTAGAGCCTGGCTACAGCTCAGCCAGTAAAAGAAGTGATTATAAACGGGCATTTCTATCTGATTCAGAAGGACCTGGACAGGCGGGGCTCCTAGGTAATGGGCTGAAATCCACAGGGTTCCTTTATTGATGATTCCTACGATTTCAGTCTCTTTTTCATTAAACGTCTGGTGAACATAAAGAAGAAAAACTGCAAATTCAGTGTCATTTATGCCCTCATTTACCTAATGATATTGCTCCCCTGAGATATAGACAGCTCGCATTTCATCAAGTGAAGAAGATTACGTCTTAAAAACTTGTTTCTGGGCACTGCAAAGAGCACTGAGCCCTGCCCGCCAGGGATGGATGGAGCATCAATAACAGAAGTTTCTGAGCGGAGACAATTCCAGTGCCCGCAGCCAGCCCTGGGGCTCAGCCTCCAGGGAGGCGGAGCCGAAGGCGTGGAGAGGGTGTGGGCTTACCTCCGTGGGCTTAAGCCCGCTCCCTTCCCGTGGGCCAGAGAAAAGCCCCAGGAGGGGCTCTCCAGAGTAGTGCGCGAGAACCTACCTGTCCTCACTCCGTATTTCAGCGTGTCCCGGCAGTCCACCAGGATCTGCTCCAGGGACTCGGGGTTGTCCGAGAGCTCCAGGTTGAAGCCCTCCATGCCCTCCAGCAGCTGGTGCGGGTGGTGGAAGTCCAGCACTTTGGTGGATCTGTCAAACGTCTTCCTCACGTAGTTGAGGAGGATGTCCACGACCTCCAGCAGGAACTGCATGGTCTGCTCCTCGCCATTCTTGGCGGGCAGCAAATCTGCGGAGCAAACCAGCTGTCAGCGCCTGCTTTGGGAGCGAGAGGCGGAGAT